CCCCAAAACCCCAAAACCCCAAAACCCCAAAACCCCAAAACCCCAGGAATCAAACAAGAATTTATAAATTATTATTTACCATAAATGTTGCAGAGAAGCTTTAGGAGATTCAATCCAGGCAAAACTGTGCTGATGAGGTAAGCCTACAAATCATCTTCATTGGGGTCGTTAGACATACATTATTGACTTTTTGTGTAGAAATGGCAACAGAATGAATCTACAGAGATATAACTACACAATTTTGGTAAGATTCCTTAAAGATTTGCTGTCAACTCCATATAGAGGCACCAGATGGCCATTGTCCCAATGTCTCAGTTTAATTCTCTTACTCATATGCCTTTAAGAGCATTCAGCGATCAGAAGTATTACAATAAGTTCAAAAAGATACTAAAGAAGTCTAAGGAAGAAGGCCAGACTTCAGGGGAAGGTCAATCTCAGACCCAGTCGGCTACTAAAAGTATGTTTTGTTGTCTTATACCTTAGTAACTATCGAACCGAAGAAGAATCATGCCAAGATGGACTTAGAAAAGTAATATCTCCCTAAAACCATAGATTCCTGAGAGAAAAAGGTGGAGAACCAAGAGATGACCTCTTCAAGGGAAAAATTAGGTCTAGGAAAGGTGCATTTGGGAAGTAAGCCTGCCAGCTTAATTACTCTAGAATTTCCTCATTCTTCGAATCCATTGGAGACATGAAGGAAACCTTAAGCAGAAAGTATTCCGCTAGGAAAGATGATGACCTCAACCAGCAGGAAAAGTTTGATAGAGAGTACAAAGAAAGACTCAAGAAGCAAAATGAGAAATTAGATGAAAAAGCAGTAAAAACTACTGTAGACTTTGTTGTCAGCCATCTTGAGAGAAATATGAACAAGAATTATTACGATGAGAGGAAAGCAGAAGTCTTCTTTGAAAAAGTATTCGCCCTGTAAGTCATTGCTTGACTCTTTAGCGAGCCAAAACATCTATTAGAGAATGAACGCTTCCAAAAGTTCATAAAGAAGGATATTCTGCTGATGATTCAAAACTCAATGGGCCCTGAGACTGTTATGAATTGGTCTAAATTTATTGTCTATTTTAACCTTGACGATCCTTATCTCTGGCCAGCTGTGACAGGAAAAGTTGGAGAATTAATGAAACGATTCCATACAGACCAGTTACTAGTTATTTTAGTAAATTGTGCTCACTCTTTATCATCTGAAGCATCTAATCTATTCTCAGCAACTGCAGATTACTTTGCTGAAAAGATGAGTTTATCTTATGCCCCAGAATCAGGAGAAACTTCATTAGCTGAAGATGATATCCCAAAGGTTTGCTATTGGTCTTATTAATATAGATCATGACTGTATTTGGATCATATCAGATGCTCAAAGAAAATCTGGTTTCATCAATTTCAGAATATGTGGATGATAATAGCATATTCATGAAGTTTGACACATTGGCTGATCTGACTCTAATTTTCTCAAGATTTTGCAACAAGTCCCAAATTGCTAGGTTCCTTGAGATGAACAACTCCAAGATAATGTCAAATATCCAATTTGCAGATGATAAGGTGTTTTGTAAGTTAACTCGGTAGTAACAGATTCTAGATAAATTCTTGTGGTCCTACAAAAAGGCTGAAGCATTTGAGGATTTCACCAAGAATGCTTTTATAGATAGCTTCCAAGAGAACCACATCAGTTATAGCAACAGAGTATTTATAAGATCTCTCTTACTCTTGACAGACAAAGAAGACCCTGAAAGGAACAACTTACTGTACAACACTATCGGTAACTCTTCTTGCTAACTTTAAACAGAGGAGGATTTACTAAACAGACTCAGGAAGCTAAGCCTGTCAGAGCTAAATGATATCCTGTGGTGGTCTCTGCAGCAAGAAAACAAGAGCGACCACTTGGTAGAATCAATCCAGAAAGAAATGATTGTACGTGTGAACGCCTTCAACGAAGATGAGCTGTTATTATTTATTGCCCAAGCGGATTCAGACATCTCTAACAAATTACTCAAATCAGTGGTCAAAGTTGTTAGGAAGAAATTGTCTAAGTTTCAAACTAAAACAAAAATAGCAATAATTTGGAGCTTTGCGAGAGTTAATCTTCAAGCTGAAGATGAAATCCATGAGCTTTATGACGAAATCAGAGAGATGCTAAAACCTGAGCTCTCAAAAATGAATGAAAAGAGCCTTGCAATGATCATTTGGTCATACTCAAGAGTGGAATCTCCTGACCAAAATTTCTTAGAGATGACTAAGAGGGCCATTATTAGCGTAAATAAGCCAGACTTCGATCATTTTGATCTAACTTTGATCACTCAGGCATGCAAATTGTTTGAAGGAAGTTATCTTTATGAAGAGACTGACTTCATGTCTTCAACCATGTCAATGCTGTCTCATTTAGAATCTCACATTCATAAGCATTTAGATAAGATGAATGTACATCAGTTTGTTACTGTCTGTACATACTATCTCTCCAGAAAAATTGGGTCTAACTCCCTTACTACATTGTTCAAGAATCATATTACAAAGCATTTGAAAGAGTTTGACAGAATTCAGCTGATTATTCTTAAACAAGCTATTCTGAAGAATGATCTCGAAGAACACGAGTACCTCGTCTCTACCATCGATGAAAGAATCGACGACATTGCAAAGAAAGAAGCCGATCAGCTCCAAGAAGAAGAGATTGAAAAGATTGCTAGAGAGATCGTTCGCAAAAAGGTAAGTTTCTCTTAAAATACTACCTCTTTTGGCTAATATCTGGCTTGGAAAATAGATAGTTAATTAGAAATCCTTTGGAAATATTAAGTTGCACATATATATTGGAAGATACTCGGCATCATTTCTACCTCTCATATAATTTTAAGCTCCGCTTTTATTGATACCAGCAGAGAAACTCTCTTTCTGAGGGTTATGGAGAGGGACAGCCACTATTGAACTTCGAAGAACGATTTTACAATTTAGCATAGTGGCTTGATATCGAGGGACTTAAGGATAACCTTGTCTATTCCTAGTCACCTAAAGTTCTCATGGTGGCAAGACTTCTGATATAATTCAGCATCGGGATGGGTCCCTCTGATAAGCTTGTTCATAGCCTCGTTAGCTTAGAGTGACTTCAGACATGGTCTCTAATCTCTAGATCGAAGCGTTAGTGAAACATAAGAAGAAACAGAGTATTAAAGAAAGGAAGTTGGGCGTAAGAGAGGTGAGACAGAGTAAGAAGGATCATCAGAAGGAGAAAACGATGAAGAAAGAGACAGAGAAAGTGACTGAGGGAGGTAAGTAGATGGATAGGGTTGAGAGTTTGAAGGAATTTTATTCATTTGGAGTTTTAGGTATCCAGGATGAATCAGAGTATTTAAAGCAAAAACTCTCTAATATGTTCAAAGACAAGAGGCCAAAAGAGTCTGCTAAATCAAAGCCTTCTAATAAATCAAATAAAGCACCACCTAAAACGCTCAGCAGTTACTTAAAATCAAGAAAATAAGATATGTAAAATCTCAACTTGATCTCCAATATTAGGGGTTTTGGGGTTTTGGGGTTTTGGGGTTTTGGGGTTTTGGGG